AATACGAAATTTTTAAACTAATGTTATTATTAAATTTAAATTATTATGATAAATTCAAATCTCCTTTTGATGTAACCATCTCATTTTCTCAGTAATCTTCATCGAGTTACCCACAGACTTTTTATTATCAAACTCCTTTATATCTTTTTCTTAAAATTTCACGTGTTTTACGTGGCTCGGAAATCGTGCTTGAATTTTTTTCCATTATTTTCTTTTGAATTATTTAATAGTTCGAGATAAATTCTATTTAACTTTTAGGATCTTCTGAATAAAAAACGTTCTTAATAACTATTTTATTTGATGTGTTAAAATAATATTTAAAAAAAAAAAAAATTATCTTTTCTATAATGATATCATTTCCTACGACCTATTTATGTATTACGCGTGAAAAATGTTAGATAGGAAAGATATTCTAAAGTAAAAAAGAGAAACGATCTTAGCGTCTGGTTTGGCCCCATTCCGATCTAGGTGTTCGTAAAACAATCTGGAAGCGACCACCCGCTTCACGACTTCGCATCGAGCCACGCACGGTATGTAGATGGGGCGATTGTGGAACGGATATGTAGAAAATGAGCAGACCGCACGGATCATTTGTCATATTGCTGTTTGGAAAGTAAGGTCACAGAGAATGCAACTACGCGGAATAGCGAAAATCCGTGTACTGTAGGGTCCGAAGCTTTGAACGATGGCGTACATTCATTTTCAAATCTGCATGAACATATACATAGATACATATATCATCTATCCATTGTATTAACGACGATGTAAAAAACAATAAAAGGTAAAAAAGGATATCCTCTCTTTATCGTTTCTATAATCTCGACAAAATCTACCCTTTTCAATTTATCTATGCAATTTAACTTCTTTTAACCATTTTATCACATGTAGCATTAAATTCAATGAAATGTTACATTATATTTTATTAAAAATGTTATGCGAGGTATAATATTTAAATTAAAATCAAAGGATTTTTTTTTTTTTAATGAAATTAATAGTCTCGATATTAATAAATGGATATTTCGATGTTATATTTAATAAAATATCAAACACAAAATTGCGTTAACATTTAGTGTGTGTTGCATTGAATAATTATTAAATTATATTTTATACTTTTGCTTGAAATGATAAATTAACGTATGTTACATCAGTTGTTTCTTTCATTAAATATTTTTTTGAAAAACAATTTTATTAAATAAAACATACCTATTTCTTCTGGACAATTATTTAAATAAATTTCATTTTAAAAATTGATTAAACCTTTATATAAATGTTATTTATTATAGGTATATTTATCTTGTGTATATATTGTATATAATTATATAATTATGTTTTGAATTAACGTATAAACTTCAAAATAGTTTCTAAGAACAATGCTTTGTCCAAGTTATAACGACGTGTTTAATCTAACCCACATATTCTAGAATGGCTTGCGAGGGCTCTCATTCCCGGAAGTCAGTGTTCTTGGTCCATGCACGTCGCGTGGATAGTCCTAGACAGTCTATTGAGATTGCAATTAATGATCCTTGTACGCTTCCTTCCTTCTTGTCTGAAGATAGAGAGAGAGAGGGGGGGGGAGAGGGGGAGAGAGAGAGAACCTTGATTAAAGCTATCCGTTAAGATACTTTAGAAACAAGCTATTTTACAATAATTACATACAGAATAATATAATCAGTAAAATGGTTTAATAAAAAAAAAAACCGAATAATACTAACATAATTRAATACATACATACATTTCTAACATAATTAATACAGTGAGTTATTTTTTTTTTTGAAAATATCATTGGAAAATATGTTACTAAAATTTACTATAAAATTATATCGTTAACACATAAGATATATTTTACAAGAACGAAAATAATTTCTCTACGGTATCGAACTATGCAGGTCTCAAATTCTCAACTATGTCGGTCGCATTTTTCTGAGAAATTCTATGAAATACCAGGGGAAATAACTTAGGGTACGATAGTTCGTTGCTCTGCTTACTAATCATGAAACTTCTTTCAATCTATTTTCGATTTATTCATAAATGTAATTTCTAAATTAATAAAATCCAATGAATTTTATATGAAACGTGTAATTAACCTTTTTGTATTGCTATTATAAAAAAAATATGGTTAAATATTTATGAAAGAAAAAAAGAGAACACAATCGATTGATAATTTGACTGGACAGTGAACGTTTTCATAAACGTCAATAGCAGTATAGGTAATATAATTAATTACAATAAAACATTTGAAAAGCGTGAAATAAAAAGTCATGCTTTTGATAAAAGAACAAAGAATAATATTATGAGCAAATTCGATATTATTTCTCGATACATTTATACGAATTTAACTTGTTCAAGCTTAACATTAAATAAATATTGAATGTACATAGAAAGATATTCATTTCTAACGAGAATTGTAAAAAGTTGTTCTACTTTTTTTTCACCATTTTTTTTCTATCGAAAAAGAAAAGAAAAACAGAGAAAAAAAGAAAGGGAGAGAGAGAGGGTAGAAGTTGGTAGCTAAACAAAAAATTATGCTTATAATGAAAAAAAACCAAAGAATAATTACCAAGTATGATCAATAGTATTTACCGTATTAAATGTAACCAGTAAATAAACATCAAATAATTGAAATTTTGATAAGAAATAAATAAAAAAACTGTTTCTTTTCTTTTCTGCCATGTTTTTTTAACAAAGAAAAAAAGAGAGGAAGAGAGAGAGAGAGAGAGAGAGATAGGAGAGTGGAGAAACGTTTTCAATATTTTCTAGGAGAGACGATTGAAGTCGGAAGAGCAAGTAAGGGACGTAAAAAGGGGCATGCCGGACTTTCGAGTCCGGTTGCGGCTTATCTTGGCAGTATGGGCGGAGGCAGAGTCTCGATCCTTTACCCCCACTTTTCTTCACAGGTACCACCCCTCCGGTCTCCGGTCGTAGCCACGTTACTCGCCTTGGGATATCCTCCGGGCTGAGCTTCCAACGCACGTGCTCGCGCATGCGTATCCACTTGCCTGCCTCTTCTCAGCCTCATCCTCCAAACCACACACACACACACATATATATATATATTGTATATATAGTATACCGTCATAGTATTATATTATATCCTACTTAAACATCTTTCCTATATACACATACATACACGTATTTCTTCTATGTATACACATCCTGCCTTTTCATAAGGGGAAAGAGTGGGAAGCGAAAGCAGACGATTCGAGAGAGAGAAATTCTGCTTAAAGAAATGGGAAACGTCGAGTTTTCGACGATATCAACACCACGACTAACTTGATTCTTCTTTTATCTTATGACTTTTTTTTCTTCTATATTTCGTTTCTTTCTCAATCGTAATTATTTATAAAAAAAAAATGTTGCATTTAGAAATGTAGTAACAATTGATGTATTATATTTAGATTATTCGATTTTACTGCGATCGTATTGATGTTAGTTTTTGAATTAATAAAAGAATTTGTGATATTGTAGTATGTAAAGTGAAATATTTTTGATATCCGTACTTTATTTGTTTAAGAGATTTTTTTTTTTCTTCAAAAAATTACTGATTAATGTTGTTAACGAATTGACACGTGTATTATGTAACATTGACAGTGATTGATTTTGGTTAGTTAAAAATTATGGTGATTAAGGAAAAAGGAAAATATACATCGATGGAATGTAATCAACCATGTCACTGACTATTGTCATATTCTTCATCGTGATTTTTTGAAATTCTAAGAATAAACTATTACTTGTTAAGTATCTTTGAAAGTTATCATTATATTACATACTTATGATGTTGGATTTTTATTGACAACTATGGCAATTATGTTGCTATTAAATTCTCCTCGCTAAGAAACAGGATTAGCACAATGGACGAATGAGAAAAATATTCATCGATGGAATCTAATAAATCATTTTCATTATTATGATTGCAAATCTTGAAAATGACGTGTTGTAAGTATAACTTAACGTAGATTTTGTATGGAAACGATCGTTATGTGGGTTTTATTTTTTTTTACTTATAACCGTTGAGTTATCACGTTGCACCGTACTTACGATAATATCGTAAATAAGTGCACATATTTTAACATAAATTTTAACCAATGGAAAAAATCCTTATAACTTTTGTATAATCTATTGATTTTTTTTACTTTTACAATTCGTGCTGTTCCAGGTAATTTAGAAGTGTGAAAATTTTTATCCTATCTTTGATCCAGAAAAGTTCAACATTATGAAGATTTCTAAATTCATTTAACTTGCTAATTTTTAAAATATGTGGAAAGTAAAGTCTTGTCCACCTTCTTCCGTAAATAGTATATTTATAGTAACTATGGCATAGTATAAGACTTTCTAAACATGTTTATTAGATAACCCCCTTTTTTTTCAGTGAAAATATTTTCATACTATCTTCTCTTCCACTATCGTAAACTTATAGAAATACGATAAATATAGTATTGTTAAATTATTTTTTAATTAATTTTATGTGGTTATACATTTAAGAATTCTTAAATTTTGCTGTAATTTCTGTGATACTCAAGTTTAGTTAGGCGACCCCATACGGAATTACGACTAATACTTTGAAAAGCTCTGATATAGTTTTATTTCGATAATAAAAAGAATAGTTTATATTAGCTTTAATATTTTCTTTCCTTTTTTTTCTTCTTTTACCAGGTCTGTCGAAAACACGGGATTATATTGTAAATTACGAAACATTTATTTATTCATTTATTTCACGATCGTAATATATTGACTGATAATTCAATATAAACATAAGCATTGGATGTGTGCCCGATTAAATTCTTATCGTACAATATATATACATCATATAATAATAAGTATAGTGTCACACTTATTAGAACATTTCTTACACTTTTAGCGCTTAACAATAATTACACTAAATGTCTCGTATCATATACGTATAAATAATACATGCATATATATGCATACATGTACCTATATACATATATATACATGCACATATATTTATATGTATTATGTAATTTTTTCATTATTTAGAATGAACGTTTTTTAATACATGTATATATGATCTACTTTGTTTATCGACTATTTATTATTTAGTATTATTTTGGTATATCGTCACAGCAACTCTGTGCATAAATCGTTTGATTACTACTCATATAATAATAATAATAATAATAAAATAATAAAATAATAAAATAATTATTATTATTATTTATATTATAATAAAATAATAATAATAATAATAACAATATAATTTTGTTTATTTTTCGGTTTCGTCGAACACACAATTACGTCCTAATCGTTATTGGTCGATCCCTCGTGTCATTTCAATAAAAATAGACAATATACTATCTCTTGTATATTCTAATTAGTATTTACAACTGAGAGATTACTTAATTCTACATAACGAGAGATGATCCATGAATTTTGATTGGAAGCAAGGAGAAGAAGAAAATATTATTTTCTAGTTATTTCATTTCTTCTTTTTTCTATTGAAAGTTTAATTAATTACATGGACAAAGAGCTTATTCGAAACGTAAGACATGTAACTATTATCAGAAAATAATAACCCGGTAGGACGTTTGAAATTCGTACGATTTTGAATCGATGGAGTATATCGCTTTTAAAAGTATGAGCATTCATGGAACTCGCTATCAGTACGGTTTTCAAGGTTTTTTTTACTGACAACGCGAAGACAACGATGATGTATTGATCGATCGAATCTAGGCTCAAGAATCGAGTCTTGTTTTCAAATAAATAATTTTAAAAACGTATTGTAGTTAAATATACAAGATTTATCTAGTAACTAAGTTAGAATATAATTTTGTTTGATATTTTATATTTTTTAATAAGTTTTATGAAATAAGAGTTACTTATCATCAGTACGATTCAATACTTGAACTGATGCACTCTTTCCAAAAACTTATTAAACAATGCTAAATTGTCTTCTACGATTTTATTCTATCTGTAAAAGAAAAACAAAATTATTATCTTATTAGATAAACTATGTATATTAATTACTGAACGTTTTTGCTGCTTTGTCCTAATCCTAATATTTCTTTTATTTAATTATTTTCTTTTATATATACATATATATATACATGTATATATATCTATTCATTTCTTTATTTTTATTTGATTTCAAATGACCCACTTTAATGAACATAGATTCGCATAATTTCTTATCGGAAGCCATACTTTTCGTTATGTTTGTGAAGATTAGAACCGGTTATTTATTATCTAATTCTAGTTAAAGCAAACGTCCCTATGATAATAATAACAATCAATAATTAATTTTTCATTCTCTTATTCATTTGACGATGTTTAACTTGTTATGCTAAAATCATACAATCATACAATAATTAATAATTAATCATAATAATAAGAATATATGGAACATAGATCATTTGCTTCGAGCACTCGATATTAGAATTATTCTTTACAAGAATATGTACAATTATGTTGTCTAGATTTATATACATTTACATAAGTAATGTCACATTTCTTGAGATGCATGGAAATGATTAGAAAGTATATTTAATTCGGATACCACTGAATCAAACAACAAACAAGCTTATTTTTAAGTGTAGTTGACTACAAGCACGATGGCACTTTCAAGGGAAACAATAAATTGAATAATGAATAGCTTATTTTAAAATATCATTTTTTCGATATTTCTCATGACATTTATCAATTTCATTATAAAGTTAATTTCGGAAACAAAAATCGTAAAAAACATTTTTATTGTTACAAAAATTTAATCCGATCGAATTCTTATGAATAAACATCACACACTAAATCCACACTAATTACCCAGCCCAAACATTGTTTATATTTTGAAAAAACAACTAGATAATGATCAAATTAGAAAATAATACTATTTCTAATTTGATCAATTTTTTATACGAACCTTAAGATTTCTGCTGTAAAAAATCAGAGGAGATGATAAGAAAAATTATTGAAATGAAATAAGAGACAATATAATTTGAAGAAATTAAAAGAATTGTCAGAAAATATCGAAATGAGTAATCAAGTTCAGGTTCCAACTGCGAGATCGTAGTCGAAGACACCAATAGTGTAAATTCGATGATCGTGATATTGTTCAGTAAGCGGGTGTTACAGAGCAGTCAGTCCATAATCCGATTTTATCGGTGGCGGTGGGACAACAGAGGACGATACTTGAGAAAGTCCAGGAGGACTGGTGGCTGGTTCAAGTGGACTGATGCTTCCGGAAGACATATGTCCCATTGGTCCACCAGTAGGACCGATCGTAGGACCGATCGTAGGACCGATCGTAGGACCGATCGTAGGGCCGATCGTAGAACCGATCGTTGGTCCGATCGTTGTTGGACCGTCCATCATTCCAGCCGCAACGTGATGGTGACTCAGCTGTGCTTGAAGGTGGGCGAGAGGATGAGGGTGACCTTGAAAGCTCGGATGTACTACGTTCGGATGAGGAAGAGACGAGTTGACACCGTGAACGTCACCCATATCGAGGCCAACTCCACTATCCAAATTGTTTCCATCTAAACCACTGGAAGGTGAATTGTTGTTGTTCTTTCTCTGTCCATTATTGTTGTTTCCATTGGCTGATGCAACAGTAGCAGCAGCAGCAACAGAGACACTTTTCGTTCTATTGTTGCTTCCCTTCGTTGATTTTGTTGTTGTTGCTGTTGCCGCTACCTGACCATTTGCGTTCTTCCTACGAACATTTTTTGTATTCGGTAGCTTGTTGTCCTTTTTCCATTTCATCCTTCGATTCTGAAACCAAATTTTAATCTGTCTCTCGGACAGTACCAATGTATGTGCTATCTCGATCCGCCGCCTTCTCGTGAGGTAACGGTTATAATGGAACTCCTTTTCGAGCTCCAAAATCTGGTGTCGTGTGTAAGCAGTCCTTTGCCTCTTTGGTTCCATTCCAGGTTGATAAGAACCATTTGCTGAAAGAAATAAATCAACACATGGTTAATATGCTTACTTGTTTTTTTATTCACCGATAATCTTCAAAATAGTTGAACGAATAATAGTTCATTTTGATATATAATTAATTACTTCAATTGTAAAATGTCCTTGATTAATTAAAATAATGAAACTATTATAATTAAACTAAATAATTAAACTATTATATTTCATTCGATTAGATTCGTTAAATTGTTAGACGTTTAAACCAGACAATTTTTGTTTTAAATTCAAAGAAATGTTATTATATACTTTATTTCAATTCTCCCAAATACTTCTAATAACTTCTTCGATCTTGAAGACCGACCGTTGTAAGTAGTTACGTCATTGGATATTGTATCAATTAACATCGTTAGTGCAGTAACAAAGACGGCACCATTCGAATGTTGACCATGATACTCAAATATTAAAGACTTAAGATACTTATAAAACCGAACAAATTTCAATTATTCGATGTTACAATTATCTCAAACACCACCCTCATTGTAATTCAAACCTTAGAAAAACTATCGACAATTAGAATAAAGTATCAGATCTGCCAGCAAAAAAAAAAAATAATTAAACTAGTAAGTATGATTTATTACTTAAGATTATAGTTCTCTAACTTTTTCTTCTATCTTGATAAATCTCGAATTTCCATAATTTAAGAAAAAAATCAATTTAATGTATATCGTAAAAGAGTAATCACATATATCGTTAATACCTACATATAACGCACGTGATTATAAAACAGAAAAACTTGTAATAATGAGCTCGTATGTCAAGCGTTTTTGCATTGATAAATCATCGAAATTTCTATATAATTACAAAAAAAAAAAAAAATGGAAACGGAAAAGAGATTGTTACGACTTGATCTGTACATAATATTCGAATCCTCTTTTTCGTAATGTTTAACTAAAAATAAAGAAACGTAAAAATGTTCACAGTTCTCGATAATTCTTCACTCAGATTTCGTGTATACAATATATGTCATTAGATGATCCCACTGATGAAATTGGTCGCGAAAAGCGGACTTCAAAGGAATAACGTTACCTTCCAATTGGACAAAGAGTTTTATGTAGAAAGAGAAAGAATGAAAGAAAAAGAGAGAGAGAGAAGAGATCAAGGAACAACGTAGTCTTACGAGTATTATTCGCATTCACTCGCGTATGACACCATGCTATTAATGGAAACGACTCTGCTGTTATCTGAAGAACAAGAAACATGCATATGAGTAGTACCTATATACATATATCTACCCATATACATGTATTTAAGTATTTACTTACGCATAGACCATGGATAAACTAACGTTGTTAGATGCATATAGCGCTGCTTGAGTGAAAAGGACGAGCCTGGCATAATAAGCAGAAAATTGTGTAACTTGAATCTCGAACGGAGTCTCTGTTTCTTTACGTAGCTTCCGGAGCTCTATTGGTCTCTCTTTCACAAGACTAAGAGAAAAAAGAAAGAGAGAGAGAGAGAAAGAGAGCGTTGCTGAGAAATGGAGAGACGTCTACCGATACTTCGTTAGTGTCTAGAATTCATGATCTAAGTATGATATTTTGTAAATATAAATAAAGGTAACGATATTTATCGTCTTGAAATTATTTTGAAAAATTATGTATTTAGATCTTAGATTATCTATTTTTTTGCTATATATAAAATATTATGTATAATTTTATATAAATACTCAAGTAAGTAGATTTATATTAGGTATGTATTTTATACCAGATTATTAGGATTTCGTTCAAATGTTATTATAATAAACGAATATTTAAGTTTCATTATTTGAATATTAAAAAAAAAAAGTTGTGTTTAGTTAGTTATACTGAACCTTTTGACTAGATCATAAACAATAAGGATATCAATAATAATAATAATAATAATAATAATAATAATAATAATAATACAAATTCGTTTTAACACATATGTAATGAATATATTTAGCAAGAATTAATGAAAAAAAAGAATATTTAATTTAAATTAATAACCGTTCACCGCAACTATTGTCAGTTATGGGAACAAAAATTTTCTGTCTACCTTCGAAAAAACATAATTAATTTGAATATTTCAGATATCATAAGACAAACTAGATTCTTTGGAACGCCTTATATATTATTTGTAACATGTATATGCATATATATAGCTACGAGAAGATGAATAAAGACGTAAGTTTATGCAAAATGTAGAAAAAAGAAGTAAGAAGATATGAAAAACAAAAAGAACAATATAGACGAACAAGTTTTTAAGCGTACGATTGTTGATTATCGATACGGGAAGAAATATTTCGCCAATATCGCGTACAAGAACTCAAACGGGTTCCCTTCTAGGAAATGTTTGTTGGTGGTCCGATCCGATATAGAAAACAAGGGAATGAGTTTGGTTTAGAATCTGTGCACGGACACATTCCATTCCGAGACTGACCGTTGCTCTCCTCTCTTCTCATTTCTCATTTTCTTTCTCATCCTCTCTTTCTCGTGGTCCCTCGAAACTTCAACCTCCGTTGAACAGTGTTCGACGTTCGAAGGAAAGGGATTGCTCTCCAGTCCGTTCCGACGGACAACGTAAACACATACTCCAAGTATGAAGGTACTTGGACGTAAACACAGTAATATTAAATAAAATTTCAATAAATTTCTAGGATCTATAAATTATAAATACATATAAATTTAGAAGGATATATCTTTTTTTTTCTTTTCTAATAAAAGATCTATCATTTTTATGATTCGATATTTTTCTCCTAATAATTTGATTTTTATCCTAGAAATTTTATTATCTAAAATGACTGAACTTAACTATCTCAATATTATTATTTATATTTAAATATTTAGATAATAAATGTAGTATCTTCGATCAAGCGTGTATATGGTGATAGGAGTGACGAATGTGTATGTACATTGCTCATTCGAGCATATAGAAATAGGTGTTTTTATAATATACAAATTAATTGAACGAATAAAAAATTTTTTTTTTTCATTTTACTCTTTATAACGATTTTTTTTTAAATCAATGAATCAACCATCACCGATTAAGAGACCAATTGTGTCAGTTATTCTCTAAATAACTTTGTTAAACGACTTTATATAAGACCAAATCTCAATCGAATTTAATTCTATCAATATTCCTGATTAATCGATAAGCTTCTATTGGTAACTATAGAAATGGAAACCGAAAAACAACGTAGACACACTTATAAAAACAAAGACATACGCCCTTCGAAAAAATTGAACTAATTAAATTAATAAATGATTTTCTACACAACATGGTGCATGCGTATCTCGATCGATTTTGTAAAGTCAACGAGCTAGCTACTTCGATTTTCTCGTGGCGTTTCTTTATACCAATGCACGAAAGCCTGTCGTTCGTGTTAGCAGCAAGCACCACGTCCAGTCAGAAGAAACTCAAAGGGAAATAGTTGCAAGTTGGAATGAGCAGCGGTTTTATACGGTCAAAGGGAATAGAAATTTGAGCCTGGTAAGGCACCCTAGTAGCAGCAAAAAATATTACGTTGCAAAAATTCATCTTCACTCTCTCTCTCTCTCTTTCTCTCTCTCTTTCTTTCTTTCTTTCGTTCTATCTTTCTTTCTCTCTCTTTAACTCTCTACGTGTAAGTTTGTTCTTTTTCGTAAGCCGAAGAAAACGCCTTTAGAATATAACAGAACAAAGTGACGAGAAATTTTTTTTTTTTCTATGACTATTTTAATATTTTTCTATAAATATTAAAATATGGTGACAAATACAATCGAAAAGTTTAAATAATCATAAAAATATTGTTTAAAAATAATAGATGAGTACAGAGACCAAAAAATCGGATGACACAAAGTTGCATAATTAACAATCAAACTTTTAAAAATTTACTTATATAAATCATTTATGACATAAACTTAACTTTTCCACTTTAAAATCTGTGTGGAATCTAAAGCTTATAAGGATTACTATGATTATTTAGTATCTTCTTTTTAACATTAAACAAACCGGTATTTTGTGTATATCTATACCTCTCGTGAGCAGTCAAATGATCACTTAAAAAAAAAACATATATTTTAATATAAAAAGAGATTTTAGTCAATTGGTTAGTGAACAAAAAAAAATGTTTTTTATTTAAAAATGAATTATGTTAATTAAATAATATAAAATATTTGGTATTTGCGGCAATGAACTTTCGAGTTCCTTAATGCCAATTAATAATAATAATAATAAATAATATAAAATAAATTATACGTTTTCAATGCATTTTTCACAAATTACAGGATATTTAAAAATTACCACGTTTTTATAAATTACATATAAAGTAGCATACTCAAATAATTTTTTAATGTTAGATAATATTTATTGTTTTTTTTTCTTGCATTTTCAAATAAGTAAATTTTTTATACTCAACTATTGAATATTTACATCAGACAATACAATAAAAATTAGAAAATTTGTATAATTTAGTTTTTTTTTCTCGTTTATTTGAAATTTACGTTTTATTGATAGAAAAAAATTTTTGTGATAGAAGAAAAATAGGTTTCTTTAGTGACTTCTTGATCCTGCGATTTTTAAGTTGACGTTAGATAGGATATGAGATATATGGGTGCATTAGGCGCAACAAAAACTGTTTCCAAACCGCCTGTCCCCGAACAGGTAACTCATTTATCCTAAAGTGTACGATAAATTTGTTCTCATAAGTCTTCCAGTGTTTGCCAGAAAAATCATTGTACGCGTATAATGCGAGGGATATTCTGCGTGTAAGGTGTGTAGTTTACACACTAGACTAGAATCTCCCAAGATCAACAATACACACCAACAATAGATCCCTCCCTTAGCGATTTATCTAATTTGTAAAATGTTTCGATGAACAGGTCCAATAAAGGCTAGCTTACTAGTCTTCTACCTTCTACCTGTAAATCTTTTCAATCATCTGGTTTTCAGTTTTTTACCATATAGACGCAAAACAAATTTATTTTCTTTGAGAATGCAAGGTGTGCTTTAAAATAGAAAATTATTGATTCATTAACGAAGAACTATTTTATTATCATTGAATTATTATTTAATAACCGTCCAATAATTTTCTTGATGATGGTTGTATTATTAAGAAAAAAGGAAAATTTTATGAAGATAATTATGATATTATTAAGAAAAAAAGAAAATTATGAAGATAATTATGATTCTGAAATGAAAGAAAGTAATTATTTTACGCAGAACGAGATTAATCGAAATTATAAGATCGTTAAATTGTTTTTCTGAATTCTGTAGTATCCGACGGAGTACCATAGAAAAATAAGTGTTAATATTTTATTAAATATATCTACTGTACAGCAACAAACATTTAAAAACATATAGATGTAATTCATTTAAAAGATACTATCGCTTAATTTTTATCAATAAGATGATTTTTAATTATTTAAATAGAATTTTTCGAAAGCAACAAATTTAAGATGAAAATATTGAAGATTGAATAGAGTTTGATTGATATTGTATTATGGAATATTGAACTTACCAACTCCAGCAACGTGAATTTTTTTCATCCATGGATAGATGACACGGTCTCCATTTTCCTCGTCATCTTCTTCTTCCTCCATCATACCAGGTGAGCCGTCCATCATCTGATCGTCCTCAACATCATCTTGATCGGATCCATCATCCACGTGATGCTGCTGTTGATGTTGCGATTGTTGTTGTTGTGCATTTTGTATATGCTGATTTTGTTGAGTCGATTGTTGCTGAAGATCTGGTGAGTTGTCTCTATGTAATGACCCAGAACCTGCTGGACTGCAGACGCTACCGTCGTGCGGTTGTTGCTGATTCTGTTGTTGATGTTGATGTTGCATAGCTTCTTGCTGTTGCACATGATTTTGCATAATGGACGGCGATAAAGGAGTAGATCCAAGAACGGTCGACGCAGTGACCGGTGGCTGTTGTTGCTGTTGCGGTGCTTGCATCGAAGATGGACACGTGTGAGGTGGTTGCTGTGCTTCCGGTGGCATTGCAAGTGCACCAACAGCGTGATGATGAGGATGCAAGCTTGCATGGTGAACAGCATGAACCTGGTGATGCGGATGATGAGGACCATAATATCCTCCGTATCCGGCATATCCACCATTTAATTGTACAGCCGACGATGCTCCGTAAGGCGTTGTAGCAGCCTGATGATGATGTTGGTGATAGCCATATTGGAGCTGGTGGGACTGAGGATGATTGAGATGGTGGCTTGCGGTACTACCGGAGAAGAAATCTGCACCGGTAGATTGTATGTAGTTACTTTGACTATATTCCTCGCTTGGTGGAAACTTTGGGTCAACCATAACCGAACTAGCAGCAAGATGATGACTACCCGCGGGCTGTTGGTGCTGATGGTGGTGGTGATAGCCACCGCCGGCGGATGGATTCATTAGGAAAGAGCTCATTTTCTCTTCTTCTTAATTTCCTTTACTTACTCTTTCTCTTTCTCTTTTGTTTTTATTTCTTTTCCTCTTAAATTACTTTTGCTTCCTTTATCAGGATTCACAGTAAACGTCAGAGTTCCTTACACTGAATGTCCGAGCTGTAGCGTCATTATATTCTTTCACTGTAGCACGATACAAAATTTACGAAGAAATCTGTATTCCCGTGCACATATTCACCGAGTAAATTAGTCTCGTCTCCTCGAACACTTAATAGTTAGGTATATAACGTTTCATTCAAACGTGAAGCACATTTTCACGACTGCACATTGACCACTGCACAGCTATACATTCTCCGTACTTGCCTACCTTGTCCTTTGGAACGTAAAAGAGAAAGAAAAAAAATGGGGCAAAAGAGGAAAGAAAGAGAAGGGTAAATACAGAGAAAGATATGTAGAGAGAAAGAAACTAGAAACCTACGTCTTTTTCCACAGCTGGGAATAAGTGAAGGGAAGAAAAAGGGGCTTCAAAGAATAAATAAGAAGGGAAGAAAGAATATAGAAAAAGAAAAAGAGAAAAAGAGATAGAGGTAGACAAGAAAAAGGCGAAAAGAACAAGGCCGCGAAGAGTTACACCGGACTCCCGATGGACAGCGGCTTATCCTCTCCTCTCCTACCGCCACTTTTGAGATCCACCGCGAAGCGGCTCCACCGCGGTCCCCTTCTGTTCCTTCCCGCCCACCGGCTCAATTACCATACCACGTGAGCTTGGTTCAACCAATCAGAGTTGGTTCGCGTCCGCGACCATGATGGATAGCCCGGCACGCATGCAACACGTGAGTGGCGCCGCCAGAGACCAAATGCGGCAGGTGCTATAACTTCTTTCTTCTCTTTCCTCTTCGATCAAAACGACTTTTCTTTTCTTGATCGTTTTATTATTTTCAATTTATTCCGTTAATCCTTCTTTTGTCGATCGAAGAAATTTCAATGAATGAACGTAGAAAATATTTCTAGAATTGACACAACTATTAACTCGTAGATATTCTTGATCACTTGACTTACTTCTCGCACAGTTAAACAGGACGTGGATATATAAATAAACGTTCTTGCGTAATCACGATTGCAACGTTCACTACTAACTAACGCTAAAACCTAACACGGTTAGCTTGAAGTAAATTCACGAAACGTTTCAACCTTGTTTGAGCTACGTCTAAATGTCTTGTTCTTTCGACGCACAGTACAACGACGTGTGCTCTTGTCTCCACGTCGAACCTCGGTAGAAACTCGTCTGGCAAGTTCGCTCAGCTCTCAGTGCTCCCTCCAGTTCCTCTTCGGCCGGCTGACTACGAGCTGAAGCTTCCCCCGCTCTTCCAACCGCACCTCTAACCACCCCTACCTATACCACAATCGTCAACCCCCACTCCGTTGAAGCACGAGACCAACCCCTGCCACGGAAGCCGTGGATCTTGTGCCCTTATGGGACACACTCCGGCCTAACTACCACGGGAGTCACTCCTACGGATCATCTTAACCCGCCTTCGCTCGTACGTTTCGCTCTTCAAATTCTCGAGCTCGTCGTATTTGTGAAAACTTTAAAGATATTTTACTTTTTTTTGATGCCAGAAATACTACTTATTATTTTTTGATGCCTTGTAATCCTTTTTTTGGTGATATGTTTTTGATATTCAAATCTCAAGTATCAATATTTCTTCAATACCTATTTTTATTTTTGCATTTATATTTATACCATATCTATACATATATTCATCATTTTCTCAACAATTTTCTTTTTATACTAAATTTAGTTGTATATGTTTTTAAAGGAATCATACCGTCATGCTAGAATAAGAAAATAACATTTGTACGGTAATTTTAAGTTAGATGTTCAAATTCTATTCAATCGTAGGTACTTCCTATTGGCGTTTTCGATATAATCGATAGATAGAGATAGGAGGGGGGCACGATGTTCGCGTATTCGGCAATATTTATTGCATAAGACGGCTGACGTCAGGCAAATTGAAAGTAATGGATCCTCCAGTCGGTCGTACTTTGTTTATATTAGTGCTCTACAAGTGTCCCGACGCACTCGGTCAAGTACGTCTACTTGTGATCAGCTGCGAAGTGTGAAGGATATAAAGTGCCAAGTCATTACACAAAGAGCACACTCACTGTGTTTTGCCGAGACACGACAATGCAGCGTGCCGTAGTTGCTGCCGCCGGCGCTCAGGGTCTCTCTTTCTCTCTTTCTATCACACAGTTAGGTAGAATCCTTACAGGATGTAAGTAAACGGTACTGCGAGTTGCACGCGTTTCCCTCGCTTCTTGTATTTTTTTTTATCTTATCATCTAACTGTAATTCATTACATTGCTGAACGGGGTCAAAATCCATCATTACTTATTATATTTTTACTCGTGCGCATGTTTCGATCGGAATATAAAAAAGATACTAAAAAAAACCATTCTACATATATATACAGTTAGTAATTTCATCAATGAATTCACTTTTCTCGATCAATCGAAAAGACGGGCTATTTTTTATATTGATCCGTCGGTAGGACGAGATAACAAGTGCAAGCAACGTTTTGTCATTTCCCAAGGACAATAAAAGAAAAAGTAAGAAGAAAAGTATAAGAAAAAAGAAACGAGTGGCAATTCAAGAGGGCTAAGAAAATGCAAGAGAGAGAGAGAGAGAACGCGTCACCTGCTTTTTCTACTGGCTCTTCTCACGACTGGGTTTTTCTTTAGTTTCGGCGTATACGTTTCTCGGTGTATTTCTATTTTTCTTATGGCTACTTCATGCGGCTCCCTCGAGAAGAGAAACCAAGGGGATAACGGTTCGAGTAGAATCTGCGAAAGGAGCTCTTCTTCGGGGCTACATCCGTCGACGTAGTCGATGCGAGGAGTTAGAGGGGGTGCTGCTTTCGAGGGGTTACTCGAGAGGAAGGGTGGGATTGGACGTTGTCTCCTCGTTTTGCGGCTCGACCTCTTCGTCTCTATCACCGTCGACGCTCACGAACTTCTACCCTCCTCCTTTTCCTCGTCACCACTACCCACCCACCTACCTCCTCCGCTACCATCACCATCGTCCATCCTCCCCATCCTTTCATGTCTCTGTCTTTCTTCCTTTATTTCTCTCGCTTACTCCAGTATCTCTCTCCGCAACGATCCTTCTCCTCTTCTCTTCCGGCGAAACACAATCAATCACTTTTCCCGGTCCGCCGGCATGACACCCCCTTTTACACCCACAACCCACCCTTGGAAGCGCGAGAGCTTAGTCGTCACGACGTCTGCCTCCCTTTCTATCTACCTCCCACTCAAACTCCCACTCATCCTCCTACTACTTCTACTGTTATTTCTTCTCATCCTATTTCTCCTTGCTACCAAACGAATGTGATCTTCGGGATGACGATTATTGTGGGATCACCCATGAGAGTCTATCGACTTCTTACGAGTGTACACGACTATGTCGCCAGGGGAAAATTTCGAGCTTTCATGCTATTGTCTGAAATATAAGATAAAGTTAAATATCATTTCGAAGATATTTCTCGAACCATGGAATTTTTTCTTCTTTTCATATTCTAGAATTAAATTGAGTAAAAATAAACATAAAAGAATAAAACAATAATAGAAAAAAATGTAGGTTTCATACATATGTGCAATTAATGGAAAATATTTTATGATGATAAAATTTGAAGCTCCCGTACATAATCCTCGTCAAAATCCACTAGAAATGTGATAGAAAAAAAAGGGTTAAAAAGTCAAAGCCTACGGCAATGGTCCGTATCATGATAATGATAAATGGTAACGAGCCAGTTTATGATTTAATATCAATCTCGGAGCGGCAGTGCTTATTATTGCCCATTAGTAAAGTTTTAATAACGCAATACGGTACTGGTGAGAGGGTGGAGGGTGTAGGGGCTATTTGGGTGGGGGTAGAGACGAGGAGACTTGCGTCGCGATTTATCACTTTCATCGCTTTATTAACGGGGTTTCAGTTATATTCAACTTGTTGATCGTTTATGAAAGGAAGCAACGTTTCTGATATTGAAGTTTTGCGAATCTACGATTAGGGTATTATTTTTAGTGAGGTAGGACTTCGCTGATTAATTGTTGCTTGGTGGAGATAGTAAATTGCTGCACGGTTTCCTCTGCATTAACAGGAAGAAGAGTTATTTCAAGGAGAAATAGAAGGATATTTGTGTTGTATTCAAGCTTGACCAAATTTCTTGAAGATTTTAGAATGCATAAGACTTATTAATTTATAGTTTTTATTTTAAAATCTCTATTGACTATATCAAGGATTATAAATATAATATATATAAACAGAATAGCATATAAATACGTTATAATTAGGTATTTATATTCATATATCTTCGAGATTTAAATTCGAATAGTTTTATTGACTTTTAATTGAATTCTCAACACTAACATTATTTAGGTAAACCGTTATCTTAGAATAATGTAAATTGTCGAACTGTATAAAGCAAACAGTAAGCTTATGACAAAATATATTCGAGCACGAGGCGAACAATAAATATATTCGTCAACAAACACATTTAAATGACGATTTATAATAAACAAACCACGAACACAATATTATTGCTGCCGATGTTCTTATAATCGATGTTCTTATTGTGTCTGGGCTATTGTAAATATATTTTGAAAGTTATAGTAAGCACATTTGATGAAAAAATTGAAACCATACGGGACCGATCGGTCATATATGGATTAGTTCCGATCTCGAAGATATCATAATATTAGTAAATCGATGTTTAACGAGGAATGTAGGAACGCGAGAAGCAATAGCTAGGCGTGGCTCATAACGGCTCGTTTAATTCGCGAAAAATTCCAAATACCTACTATCGTATTATATTGAAGATCGAGGCGTTGGCAGCAGACCCGTCGTCTGTGGCGAGAAGCATGAGTCCCCAGAGATTCGATTTCACGACATCGCTGAGTCACGAGATCGCGTTTGCCGACACGAAAAGGGGAGCCGCATCCCTTTGGGAACATCCTACATATCTCTGATACCTGAAGTACGAAGGAAGTCTTCCGAAAAGAAATCGGTCTTGCCGATGAATTGAAGTTAGGAAAGCTTTGTCCATAAAAAAATGTATTCTAAATTATTTACATTCCAGTTAAATAAATAATTTCAAAATTAACAACAATTTTAATTCGTTTTAAGATGTTGATAAGAATTTAATTATAACAAACTGCTATTACCGATGAAAAGATTAATTTTTTATTCAAAGCGAAATTATAGGTATATACGATGTTAAATAAAACAAAGAAATCTAGAAAGTCTTGATGGCGTGAGTTGACTCGATGAATAGTCTTGTCCATTGATGGTATACATAAAAAAGTGAGAGGAACCGTTGAGGATGTGTAAAACAAAAAATGCAATCAACAGAATGACAGAAGCGACGACATGAAGGTACATGGCATCGTTCATCGAACGAACGACCATCAACGAGCAGCAAAACCAGCAGCAACTCGCAAAGTCCGTCGCGAGATAAGCATGGCACGAGTGAAAGTGTCAGCTGCGTCTTCGTGTTAGAGAAAGAGAGAAAGAGAGAAAGAGAACGTCGATGGTTGTGCCAGCAAACGGTAGTCCCACTTACAGTATACGATGGAAGAAGAAAAAGAAGAAGAAGAAGAAAATGAAGATGAAGAAGAAGAAGAAGAAGAAGAAGAAGAAGATGCGAAGGAAGATATGCAGAAAGAAAGGAGGCAAGAGGGCCTAGCAGGAGCGTGGTAATTATCGTTCTTCGAACGGTGGTAACGTCGTCAGCATTCACCTTTGAACGAGCTGACCCAACGAGCAATTACCACTCAACCCCAGCCTCTAAGCAATTTGCATACAGCAACATTTTTCTAGCACACTCATTGAAAGGACTTTTCAAATATGCTTAAAGAAAAAATGCAATTGAGAAAAGTCTTGTTCTTTGCATTGAAAATATAAAGTGAAAGAGATAAAGAGATTGATATATACAAAGAACGAGAAAGATGGTAAGAGAGAGAGAGAGTCCTCGTTGTCGTCGCCACGAGTGACTCGTCGCTTCTCTGCCGGGAAGTCGTTAGCGGCCGATCCTCCTTGACAATCCTGACACCTTACTTCGAACAAGTTCAGAAGCATACGAGATTATAAGGTAAGTGCGACCCAGACTCTTAAGTGTCGTTTAAATCCTTCTCACAGTTTCAATTCGTCCAACAGAACTGTTAATCTTTCGGTACTTCTTTATGTATTGTTACACAAATATTATATAATTGATATTGTAAATATCTATATTATACGGTTATAATTTATGTTAATTGTCTCTTCTTCATTTTAGATCGATATCGTAGTATTTAAAATAATCATATAAATATATGTGTATATTAACACATCCTTTGTAAAGTTTAGAAAAAGTTTCGGGTTAAAATAGAAACGACATAGAGAGAAAACTATCAATAACAATTCTCTATCCAATAAGGTTGACTCGACGTGAGATAGCTTAGTGTTTCTTGGTCGTATGTGACTTACCTGCATG